AAACCTTTGAAGGTTTAAGATCGATGATAAACCTTTCGAAAAAACCTTTAAGGGTTTTTTAAGGGGTTTAGTTCGCTTACTAAACCCTTTAAGGTTTAGTAAACGACGCTTTTTTTTTAGAGTGTACTCATTCTGATGAAACATCCTGTTTATCCTGCTCTTTGCCTGCATTAAAAGTTACCAAAATATGGCCATTTTGGACAATGGTCCACCTTGTTCTGGTCTTCTTTTCCGACAGACACCAGTATGAGAACACGGAAGCGCTGTTTTGACTCAAGCACTAGAAACCAGATTTTCAGCGTCGAATCCTGCTCCCAGGAATTGTTTTGTACCAACTTCCACCAACGTGTTACACACATAGCTGCTAAGCCGCGTTTATCATCAGGGCTAAAACTTGGTGGAATCTAATCTGTATTGCTCGAAGGTCGCCCTCCATTTTTTTCACGAATATTTAACCCTTGTATCGTTACATCTCTCATGGGATGTGACTGATTTCTGAATATCTGAATATCACCTCCAGAGTGGTTTCTGTCAGTTCACTCACAGCCACGTACCCCATACCTCCCTTTCTTTCTGCGAGTTGACTACGCCAGTACAAAGATATTCAGATATTCATGTTCTAATATCTAGAGATTCTCGGAATATCTAAATTGTAGATATTCCAAAATCATACGCTAATATCTCTTATGCCTAATAGTCACAAATGCGTAATGTAATGCGATAGCTTTCGTTTGGTTTTTCGCTTTCTTTTATGTTGTTCTTCTCTGCGAATAGTGTGGCTCTGCTTAGTCATTGTCGACGTTCAAATGTACAAGAATACTTTTGTTTTTTTGTTTTTCTCATATCCTTATTACTGTATTCGTTGTATCTGACAAAAATGTAACAAGAGCTAGAATTAGCTGCGGACATTCGAGTTGAAACTACTCATTTTGTTCAAACACCGTCAAAAACATAGGTCTTGATTGTGAAATAAATTTGCTTGAAGATGCTGCGTGACGGCGGCTTAATTTTACAAAAAAAAGGATTTTCTATGTTGTCACCACTACTCTAAATAATATAAAAATGCTCTTCTTTAAAAATATGATTTAAGATGAAACACTAATCAAAATCTATAGCAGATACTTCGAGAATTGCGCTTATTAATTTGAATTTCTGAAATTGCTAGTCAACGAATATGTTTTTTCTTATTGGCTGTCAAACAATGATCTCACGAATTGTAGCTAAAAGCATTTTGCGGTACAAAGAACTGTTGGCAAATTGAATCTAGAAAAAATCTGTATTTAGTTCTTTGGTAGTCAGTTTATTCCGAAATACACTGACGGAAGAGAACATTATCTAACTGCACTGGAAGAAATGGTTCACTCAGTTCGGTATAGACGCTAACTCTCTTTCTATGCTATTGATAATTTTCTGCACATTGATATTAGTTGATGAAAGAACACTATTTGTGCTTTGGCTTCAAAAAAAAAAATGTTTTCTTACGTAGCGAAATGAATTACAATGTTTCTTCAACAACAAAACAAAACTAATTTCTTTCCTTTTTTATTCCCTTCTGCTACCACGGAAGGTATTCAACAGAAAACGTTCAGCACGAGAAAAAAATAGTCTTTTCTTCACTTTTTTCTATCGACACTTTTTCCCATATTTATGAATCACCTTGTGATACCAAAATAGTAGAAAGAACAAAAGAGTATTTCATAATAACTTTCTGTCTAGTGTTGATAATTAATTTTCATCCAAAAAATGTTTTGGGTATTGTATGTTATATATTCGACCTTTCGAAGTTATCGAAATAAACCGATTTATTGGCATGATGGTAAACTTCATTTTCGTCGAAAACATGACAATAACATCAAACAAAACTACAAACTGGATCGAGAATGGATGATATTTTATGGATTATTTGCATTATTTATATTCGGACTTGTGACATATCGACTTCAAAAGAATTATCGTCTAAAATATCCAAGCATTTAATATATTTAATGTATCTGTTGCCGTCTGTTATCTTCGATAAAATACATTTGCATCATAACTTGATCAAAGTGATCTCGTTTCTAAAAAGATTGTTCCTTTTTCTCAAATCATTTTTTTACATAGTTTTTAATTTAAATGGGGTAATTAGATGAATACAGTAATCAGAAATCTAAGGAAAGTTTTGCTACAGATGTATCCATTATAGCTACGTTCTATTTTTACATAAAATCTTTGATAATTCTTTAATGAAACAATACTGTTGAAACAATACTGACTATTAAACTGATAATGAGCAAAATTTTTGAAAAGTACTATTTATATCTTATTCATAAGTTGTCATAACGATAACCGGTTAAGATCTACGTGGCAGAAATATCTATTGAAATTAGTAGTGTGCATTAAGGACGTGTCAGTTTCTAACTGTGCATCTGATGCCATATGTGTCTTTTTTCTTTCCTTGAAAATAAATAGTACCGTACATCACACTATTTTTTAACACTACAATTTCGATATAATAAGACTTAATGGAGATGAAACGAACTATGTTTAAATATTGTCAGTTTCTTCTTTATATATTTATAATTTATTATATAATCAATGTTGTTCAATCAGCACATATTTCTATGGCAGGTATACCATTAGATGTATTACACTAAAATGTATTTTTCTAGGCTAAGCTAATTGAATGTATGCCCGAATCTCGAAAACTCAAAATACCGAAAAGTGAAAACGCAAAATGCATGAGATCGAAAACCTGAACGAATGTCGAACGATAAAAATAATGGAAATATGGGTTTCGGAAGCGAACTTCGTTACCTTCAAAATATTCCTTGTTCATAATTCTGCTGACAGATCTACAAATCTTTTATGCACACGGTCACTTTCTTTCTTGCAATAACAAGTGTAGATCATAGACCATAGACTACGCAGTTCGATAGATTTGTCTCTCAACTACGACAAATTCTTAGCACTTGGTGCTTCATTATCTCATACCACTCACACTCATCTTCCCGTGCCCCCTCCTCTTCCGCACACATTTTATTGTGTTTGTTCAGTGCCATTTTTTACATAATAACTAAACAAATACGAGTCCGTTCCAGACTAACATTTTCGTTGTTTTTACCGTTCGATATTTTGTACTTTCGTCAGTTTTGTTTTCTACATTCTTATTTTCGATCTTATGCATTCTATGTTTTCACTTTCCGTGTTTTTGAGTTTTGACCAAAGGTACACTTACCAGATACTTCATCATGCTATTATTTACTTATATTAGCTTTTCAGCACGCTAAGAAGCTCAAGGTTTGTCCGACTATTTGAAAAATAAAAATCATTTCTCTACGAAATTAAACGAAACGTTACAATAACAGTAATCAATTTATTCTCATACTGATTTTAGGACAATGGAATCCAAATGCCAATACCAGAAATAAAGTATGAATCAATTTTTCTAATTTTCCATGCTGGAGACTATATTAAATGAAAAATAAAATTGTGTCTATCTTTTTATAGACAAATAAACATTCACCAGTTCACGTCTACGGACCGTCGTTGAATGGAATTCATGATCATGTTCATCAGCCTCTTTCCGAAGATAGTAAAATAGTTACTTCAGGTGAAAACAATATCGACAGTATAGACTCGACACAAGAATTCGTTTCTGTTTTACACAATGACTCTGAAAATTCTGAATCAAATCAAGTAATACGTCCTTCACTTGACGATGTTCATTCGTACGTACATGAACATGAAAAAGAATTATCTTTGAACCAAAATAAACAACAAACAGCAGGTCCTTCTTTAGATTCTATACATGCCCATGTACATAAACATGTAAACAATGATAATCAATCTCTTTCACAAAAATTTTTAATGGTAATACAACCGTCCATTGATTTTCTTGATGCACAATTACATGATGGACACGAACATATTCATGACATTAATCGAGTACAATCGAATAAAACAAATGGGACAAAAGCAGCTGATTTAGATGATTTTCGTGAATGGTTAAGTGAACAAAATAAAACAGATCAATATCAACGTTTCCTTAATTTACAAAAAGAAGTTACAATTTACTATGAAAAAATGATTAATGATAAAAACTTGACAGATAAATTAAATCGAACAATTGAAGAAATAAAATTATTTCAAAAACGTCCAAAACACGATCTGTAAAGATAGTATCATTGTAAAACAATGCCTCTCATAAATTTAACTATATTGGATAATAACCAAGCAAGATAATTCATCTTCAGTCATTTTTTGGTGTTCGTGATATGGTAATTACTTTCTCAGTAAAGTTATTGTCTACAAGAAACTATGTTGTCCTTAGTTATCTGTATGTATTACGTAGAAAACGCATGTTGTCATACTTGTCATTCTCTAAGCGCAAAAGTATATATATAAAATATTTGTTCTTTTAAATAAATTCCCAAAAAAACGATTCAAAAGAAGAAAAACACTGTTCTAATAGGCTTTAGCTCAGTTTGTCATGCTTAAAACAAGGAACGTCTTTAAGGGACAAACAACGATGAACCTTCTTCTCAGGCAGCAAGATAAAGTAAATTCCATGATACACAGTTATCGGGTGAATACAGTCTTCTTAAATCAGATTAAAAAAATTGAGCTAACAACTACAACTTCATACAAAAACAAAATAGAACCATAACAAACACATCATTGAAGATATATCATTCATACTGAAATAATATTTGCATGTTTTAAATAGTTTTTATCCAAGCCGAGAGAGTATCGCTCTTAAAAAATCTTGTTGAGTTGCATAGCCACCAATATCTCTGGTTTTTATTTTTTGTTGTTTAATTACGCTACTGAGTGCATCCTCAAGCCTAGTAGCCAAATTGTCTACAAATAAGAAAAAACATTTCTGCTTATTAGTAGACTACGATTTTTCTCCAATAGAAACATACCAAGATTTAAATATCGCAATAAATTAACACCACACAATAACATCGACGTCGGATTTGCAATGTTTCGACCAGCACCAGTGAGAAAAGGATGACGAGCACCCTGAAATCAAGTTAATCATTCAAGTTATGTATATATTGATAGACAATACAAAAATATTACAGGTTCGAATATTGCCACATCCGCACTATAACTCTCACCAGGAACCATACCCGCACCACCAACTAGTCCCACAGCCAGGTTTGATACAATATTTCCATATAAATTTGGACAAACAAGAACATCAAATTGTTGTGGTTTTGAGACGAGCTGAAAGATAAAAACAAAGAGAATCAGATTCATAATTTTGATCTAATCCGAAAAGCACTATCGATAAAAGATCTCTTACAAACTGCTTCGAACGGAAACAGCTAACTGTGAAATTTATCTTTAACTGTATTTACCTGCATACACGTATTGTCAACCTTAAAGAAAAAAAATTTAAACTATTGTTATCTGATATAAAAAGCGTTTATTTTTACAATCATTGTATTTAATTCAATATTTGGATACAGAAGTGATATCTCTTTGCATGACTCAAGAAATAACCCGTCACCTAATTTCCTAAAAATATAAAAGAGATCTTATACTATGTGAATTGAAAAAAATCATTAACAACAACATACATTATATTTGCTTTGTGCACTGCCGTTATTTTTTTTCGTCCAAATTTTGTTGCAAAATCAAATGCAAATTTTGCTATACGCTTAGAATTTTCGTATGTGGTAATTTTTAATGATTCAACAACACCACGAACAGACTAAAATAGACAATACACATCAGAAGTTTCTAAGCATTAGGGTGTATTCTATCTTACTTCATGTTCTAACGCACTGTATTCTCCTTCGGTTTGTTCTCGAATCACGATGAAATCAATATTTTGATGACGCAGCTAAAACACAGTTTAAGTGTTCAATCGGACATCGACGAAAAACAAACAAACATACTTTCAATCCTGGCACTGTTTTAATACGAACGACATTAGCATATAAGTCTAAAGCTCGCCTGCAAAATAAACAAATAAGAATAGGAATAACGCAAATTGCTATAAATAATTAGATTAAAGAAAAATATTACCGGATTTTCATATTCAACGACATTAAGTCTCCTATAAATAGAAGATACAGTTACATTAAAAAATTCCACTTTTTAATGTAAAACTGTGCGAACCTCCTTCACCAATGGCAGGAGTAGTTAATATTCCTTTCATGCCAACACGATTACGTCGAAATGATGCGACTATATCGGTTAAAGAAGAACTTCGTCCTGGAAGTAATTCACTAAAAAGAGAATAATAATAATAATAAATTAGTGTAAATCGCTTGTCAATCTTCTTTACCTGGCTAATATTTCATCAAATTCAACTGGTGCACCCAATGTATTGAATACTTCGCGAACACAAAGCATTAACTCTGGTCCCACGCCATCGCCAGGTACACTAAATAAAGTAGAAAAAGAAATTTTAAAGTGATTTGATTATTAAGGTTCTGCAAGACAAAGATAACCTACACAGTCACATGATGTTTATGAGATTCGGCTATTTTATCTACAGTGATCTATATAAATACGATAGTATATCAAGAATATCACTGTGTTGAACGTCCTCAACACATAGACTTACGGCAACTGCTGCATTGTTTGATGAAACAAACTAATAAGAAAAAAAAGTATGTTAGTTGAAATTCGTTGATTCTTCTAGCCCTCTTACATTCAGCTTAGCGTGTCGTAAAGTGTTGGTTAATGGACGGATGTTTCTAAGAGTAGAAGCCATTTTCACTCTCTAATGCCAAATAATATGGATATTACTTAGAAATTAGCATCTAGAAAACAAAACTTTGTTGAGTGTGTTGCGATGAATGAATTTTCTTTAATATTTGACTCCAACTTCGTTACGAGGATACGCAGGAAAAATCAAGAAGAAAAGCAAAAGCTCTAATTAATCAAATATTGACTGCTACTAAATAGGGAATACTGAGAAAATCAAGTAACTTTCTCGTAAAAATCAATCTGCAACTGTAACAAGTCTGCAACTGTAGTATGTTTTTGTATACTACACTAAAAAAAGAGTGGCTTTTAATATTTAGAAATGGCCACTTTTTTGTCCAATTGCATTTAGACCATTCAGAATACATATACAGTTTTTTCTCTGTTTCTGTTTCTGATACGTTTTTTTAAGATCTCAATCTATCATTTTTTTAATATTAGACACTATTTATCAGGTATTGTCTGCTAAGAGCAAAAAGAGTAAAGCAGTCAGCTTTAGTCTGATGAAATGGGGAGGTTCAGCATTTCTCAGAGAAATTACTCTATTAGAAGCTCGATAATGGCATTCAAACTACATACGATCATCTTTGTCCTAGTCAGTAATACATTTAGATTTCAACGGTTTTTAACAATGTTCTTGCAAAATACTTCATGTGTTATGCAATTCAATAGCAAAACGAAAATCTGTGAACGAGAGCAATGTAATTTTGTTATACATATAATAATACATACATGCCATTCAACATATCACAAAACAAACGATCAAACGAAGCGCAGTACCTAGAAAAATAAGTGTTTATGTCGATGAGATATATACAGCGCATTGGAACTTTTGGAAATAATTAGAAATTAATGCGAACTAATTCAAAAAAGTCTCATATTAAATTAGTACGCTTTAATTTTTTTCTGATTACAAATCAATTCAAATTAATTTAACTTGATAAATTAATTCGAACTGATTAAAATTCAATTGGTTTGAATTAATTTATCAAATTAAATTAATTTGAATTGATTTGTAATCAGAAAAAATTAAAGCGCACTAATTTAATATGAGACTTTTTTGAATTAGTTCGCATTAATTTCTAATTATTTCTAAAAGTTCCAATGGGAGTTTGTTTCATGCCAGTTATGTAGATCAATCGATGACAGAAAAAGAAATATATCCAACTAATTATGACTTGATAGTCCAATAATTGTGACTTGCTCTTGTACATCTCTCTCTATGAATACAGTCAGGACTGATTCTTTCTCTTTAGCACATATCTGAATATATTATTACCAAGAGGACGAGACAATTATGTGTACATCGTTTTTGTTTTTTTTGTTTTGCGTTCGGATACTTTTTGTTACAGTTAAAGTCTAGACAATAAAATACATTCTGTCATCTGAATTCCAGCTGATATATGTCACTTTTGTATGTTGAGAATTTTGACGGTCGTTTCGTTATTAAACAATGTTTCATTTTTTTCATTTCTATGATAAATCTGTCATTGTTGGTTTTGTTGAAATTTCTTTCAGATTTTTTTTGTCGAATCTTAGTCCTGCTTTTATGTCATTTCTTTTTCAACAAAATTTTAAACCATTCATTAAAATCAAAGTAAATGAATGTTTCTAATGAAATCTAGTGTATAATAAGTTTCGATTTTGTATTTTAGATAATAGTTTAGAGTAAATAAATAATGGATCGTTTTATAAGAAATATGGGTTTAGGTAATCTGTCACGTGATCTTCAGGGTGGCGGTGGTGGAGTGCAAGGTGATACGCCTATGGTCGATACAGCTGAACAAGTTTATATATCCTCATTGTCGTTATTAAAAATGCTAAAACATGGAAGAGCTGGTGTACCGATGGAAGTAATGGGGTAACATCAATATTTTCATTCGTCTTCCTACAATCAACGTCATATTTGAACTTTTTTTTCTAGCCTTATGTTAGGTGAATTTGTTGACGACTATACTGTACGTGTTATAGATGTATTTGCCATGCCTCAGTCTGGAACAGGTGTTAGTGTAGAAGCAGTTGATCCCGTCTTTCAAGCAAAAATGTTAGACATGTTAAAACAAACCGGTAGACCAGAAATGGTGGTTGGATGGTATCATTCACATCCTGGTTTTGGTTGTTGGCTATCAGGAGTTGATATCAATACACAACAAAGTTTCGAAGCATTGACAGAACGAACAGTGGTAAGTAATTCTAAGATTTTACCATGACTTTTGTACACTGTAAATGTGTTTGTTTGTTTCATCTAGGCTGTTGTTGTTGATCCCGTTCAAAGTGTGAAAGGAAAAGTTGTTATTGATGCATTTCGTTTAATAAATCCAAATTTATTTGTATTAGGCCAAGAAGCACGTCAGACAACATCAAATTTAGGTCATCTAACTAAACCATCGATACAAGCATTAATTCATGGTCTAAATCGACATTATTATTCAATATGTATTAATTATCGTAAAAATGAATTAGAACAAAAAATGTTATTAAATTTACATAAAAAATCATGGATTGATGGTTTAACATTGCAAGATTTTAATGATCATAGCGAACAAAATACAAATGTTGTTAAACAAATGTTAGATTTATCAAAAAATTATATTAAATCATTGGAAGAAGAAGAAAAAATGACTCAGGAACAATTAGCTATTCGAAATGTTGGTAAACAAGACCCGAAAAGACATTTAGAAGAAAATGTTGATATATTAATGACGACAAATATTGTTCAATGTGTAGCTGCCATGATGTCACTATGTTGTTTTAAATAGATTGTTATTATTGTAGTTATTTTTTTTAGTTCTCACGCTCAAGCAACAGAAATGAAAACAAATACGACATCTTCGTTTTTCTTTATTCTTTTCTTTTTTATTTGTTATTGTTGTTTTGAATGATCCGTTTTTTTCTTCTTTTTTCTATTTCTTTTTTAATCAAATAAATACAAGTTTTATTTAACATACAGTATGTGCTGCCGTTTGTACTGTTGAAAAAGATTAGAGGCATCTTTTCTCTCTTTTTTAAAGGTTTTAGAAGTATCGACAGGCAGCATCAGATAGATTTGAAATACTTATTAGAGTTAAAACATTGAGGAAGAAAATTAATCTACTTTTTCTTAGATTTATCTATCATGGTTTTTCTGGAACAACACGTTTTCTGCTTCCGACCATAACTACTGACCTAAAGTTTTGTCTAATTGAGCTGAAAACTTCACTATGACTATCTAACAGTATTGTACAAATATATTTTTGTCGATTGTTGTTTCTGACTATTAGACTTATAGGCTTTTTAACGTACTTATAACGTATTTTTTACAACTGCAAGGAAACCGTGTAATCAAACCATGTGATTATGTTTCTCAAAAGCTTCCAATATATGAATAATAAAATGCTACTCAAAAGAAGAACACAATATGTACAAGTTTATACAAAACTTTAAAGTAAATAACATTTAAAATAGTAAACACGGAAAAATAAAAAAATATCAGACTGATAATTGTTCACTGGTTAATTTGTTGACACAATTGAAATGTCAACAAATATTGTTTGAATTTTGAATTTTACAATTTGAATTTTAAATTGTATATTTGATGAAATGCTTTGTGACAAATTGAACATTTATATTGTTTTGTTGTTGAATGAGTCAATTTATGATTTTTATAATTTCCTTTTGATGAAAACCTTTGCCACAATGTTCACATACCCATGGTTTAAAATTTTGATGTATTCGCATGTGAGTATTCAATGTGGATGAACGATTAAATGCTTTTCCACAAATACGACATACATGAGGTTTTTCAGACGTATGAATTATTTTATGACGACACAATGTAGATGCTTGACGAAAACCTTTGCCACAAACCTAGAAATAAATAAAAAACAACGGATAAGGCTATTCTTAAACATTGAATTTTTTGTATTACTTCGTTAGATACTTAATAATGGTTGTGCGCCCACGACAGTAGGTATCACGTAGAAATCATTAAATTTTTAGAACAGTATTTTGCATTTTTTGGTTTCACGAAAATATTACAAACTGGATGTGAGCGACATCTGAGAAATCCATGGTTCGGGAGCTGTGGACGTCTTTCCTGAAGCCTTTGCACTCCTCTGCTGTTAGGTTTGGGACTGTCAGAAATGAATGAAAACATAGGTTATCGACAATACTGAATCTCGTGGCAATGTTAGTTTTCAGAACAAAATGCAACAACTGAGTGAAAACCTATACTAGGTGAAATAACGCATTTTTGATTATTTTCAGCAACAATTAAAAAATTCATAACTCAGTCAAAATCCATCCAGTCTTTGTCCGAATGTCAGCAGAGACTCTGTTTTATTCGCTGATTCTGATTCTGTAGGAAAAATCAATAAAAAAAGATTCTCTTTGTTCCGAAGCTTTCTAGGAAACCTTGCTAGAAACGAAAGTATTTTTTGTTGGTTTTTTCAACGTTTATTGAGCTTTACTGAGAATTTATTGAAATACATAGTAAAAATAAGTGTTTATGTCGATGAGATATATACAGCGCATTGGAACTTTTGGAAATAATTAGAAATTAATGCGAACTAATTCAAAAAA